TTTCAGTTTATCTACTTCATGTTGCATAGTTCAGCCATACCCTTTAGTCTCAGTTAGTGTTTGCACTGACGTTGCAGCATCTGCTGCAATAACACAAAACACGCATATGAGAAAATTAAATAAACCCTCCAATTTGTGCCTAAAAAAGGGAGGGATGTAATTTCCATAATTTTATAAAACGGATCACTGTATCACACTGAGATGGAAAAATGAAAAGCAAGGACTGAAATTACCATTAGTATCATTGTATCAAAACTTGAAACTTTAGCCAAGATCAGGATCTTGCTGTGAGAGTCACTGTGCTTATCCGTACTAGGTCAATGCAAGAATATTTCCATTCCACAGATAAGACTATGTTTTGTTTTCCAAATTTGTGGCTGACTTGGAACTTCAAGATCAGCTATGAATCATAGGTTGTCTACCCAAAAACTAATCATAAGTAGAAAGAAATCATCACTAAGGCATTAATGTAAGTATTGCGTGAATCTGAATGGTTGCTTGGTGTTTTATTCAAGCATTTGATACTCTTCTCTCCTTGCTCTCCTTCTATATTAGTTCCTTAGCCCTTTTCATTTTCCAGTGAAACTGATCGTTTTGGTGGATACTTAGAAGTTCACCATCTAGAAAGGTGGTACAGTTTCGAGCTACTTATATATATGAACAATATTCATCTTGAAAATATATAAACTTTTCAGACTAACACAAATTCAAGAATAGAGACAAAATTAATGCAAGTGTCATTAACTGAAACATTTAAATACCTCTTTATTTATTCCAGTGGATGTTACTTCTAAGAGGAGCATCTCCTTACAGAACCTAAGCAAAGGGTCTCTGTGTTTAATTCTTGATAGTGAAATTTAAACCTTTAACTTTCTACTTAAATTAGGACTGAACATGTTTCTTGCAACTGTATTTTCAAGCGTTTTTCACCATGCCTGCTTCTTCATTATATCCTGTTGCCCAAAGGGAAATCAGCCTTACTTCTACAACTTCAGCTTCTGAGTAATCACGATCTGTTAAGTATTCAGCAGTCTTGTCTTGCTCTTTCAGATAGGAGTTTTAAATGTGAGCAGGTGAGTTGGATAAAAGTTGACAAAAAGAATTCATAAAAAACAGTACTCGGGAAAATAATCTTAACGTACCCCGGATGCATTTCCAGGATGAAACTCTTTGCTGAATGAGGAATATTTGTCACACAGCTGGGAGGGAAACTTCCTGCATGCCATTCACTTGGATGGTGGTCAATCTAATACATTTCCTAGTTGCTTAGACATCTAAGATCTACTAATACCTTTCACAGAATTTCTCAATACCTCCTACAGAGATGATTGCTCTTGCTTTCTCTGTTGTAGCCAAAATCTGTGTGACATTTTGAATTTTCTCAGGAGCTCTCTGATTCCATGCAGGAGTTCCAAACAGCTGTGAGGCCACCACCGAGGACCGACAGACCAGCTGCCCCCTGTCATGCTTCTAATGGGCTCGTTGATTTTTCTCCAGCATACCATTTTCTTGCTAATAGTGCATCATCTTTATAGGGAAAAAAAGCGATATAGGGAACATGACACAAATGAATAATTCATCTTCCATAATGTCTCTTCCTTCTTGATAGTTTCCAACTATCAGAGTTTAGCAGACTTCTATTGTCTTTCTGTTTTTTGGCCATTTCCTTGCTGGTATTTTACCACAGAATTACAAATCTCTGGAAAACTAAATGTATAAAATAACCTCTGTTCTCACATCCATTTCACTCATGCTGTGTCCAGGGTTTGGTCCCTGAGCACTCTGTCCCTCTTTTTGGAGCCCAGTCTTCTTCCACGCTGTGACAGTTGTCCCGTTGCTTAGAAAATCACACGCAGAAGTACTCCAGTAAGAGAGCAGAAGCATTCGGAAGCAGTTTTCCAAGAGTAAAAAATGTATCTTCCACAGCAATCAAAGTATTTCGTCTTTCCTTGTCCTTCATGATGGTTTTGTGTTCTCATGTTCTTTGCACTACTGAACTGTTAGTGTCCAGTTAAAGCTCTAACACTGTTCTGCCTTCACAGCTGTATTTCCTCTGCAAGTGGGAGATGACCATACCTTGAATTCTCTTCCTGACTGCCTAGCTGGACTTGCTTTGCACAAATAATAAAACCTACTTATGTTCAATAACCCTTTTTTGATCTTATACTGTATAGGTCCTTCTAGTCTACTAGTTTCTCTTCTGTGACTGGAGGAAGAGGGGGAGTCGCTGAAAGGCAGCAATCAGCTAGATAAAACTTGCAATATAAAATACTCTCTGGGTTAAATGGGGCTTAAAATATGGGTGATTGCAATTACATATGTACAACCCCAAGCTGTCACCGTGTTTATTTAATCAAGATCACTTAGAGATTTTAATCAAAATAGCGAGCTCATAACATCAGGCTGGTCATCTGTAACTGACAAGTCTGTTTAGTTACAGAGGCCAAAAAATGGTCCCTATATACGTGCTGATTTTGCTAAATAATGAGTAGCTGTTTAAATCACTTGCAACAATTTGGCACAGAGTGATATTAAAGACTTGCTCCTTCTCCAGTTTTTGCTAATAAAAAGGAGCCCACTATTTGCAGGATTGAGGAGGCACTTATTTTCTCTTATTATACTTAGAAGGACAGAAATACACAGGAAAGAAAAATAAAGGGGAAACTACTATCACTTTTGATAAAAATTGACTTAAATATGGCCTAAAATAAAGAAGTCAACAATGTCGGTTGTTCTCTTAATCTAAATCCGTTTGGCATTTTTAGCCTCTAAACTTGCTGAAAAGTTACTCAGAAGACAAGACTACTGTGTATATTTGGTGAGACAAACTGCTCTATTAATTTAGCTCAGTCCCATAAATCTCTTCTAACTTGCAACCAAATCCCAAAGTAATCTGGATCACATTGCTATCGAAGTATCTAAAACCCAAGAGCACGAGGCTTAGTATTTCATTTGTCTCATATGTTCAGCTATGATGTGACTTATAAGATGTCATTTTCTGCACTAGGAATAAAAATCACTTAAGTCTGTCTTCTAATTGTCTTGCAAGTAATAAATTGTTTGTGATGTATAATGATCAGGTTTTAATGAAAGTGTATCTACCTGCGTTTCTTGAAAACAGCTTTCTTAGAAAAATAGGCGTAGTAAGTCAAAACATAATGAGCCTGACATGTCGTATCAGGAAAAAAAAAAATTGCCTAGAGCTAAGGGAGCAGTGCAAAATAAAAGTAGAAACAAAATTTCCTGCAAAACTATAGGTCATGACATGGGTTTTGCTCATGTCAGATATCTGGCTTTCTTTGCATGGTCAACAGTATGCAACTACTGTAACCAAACTCTGTGAGATAGCATGGCTCAGAGTGCAATCAGTTAGCCAGAGAAAATAGTACTAACTAATGGTTCAGTTGATCATTTTGTCTAATAATGGTTTCCTCATGTCATTTCCCTTTGTGGAGCAAATATTAACATGCAAGATGACTACTGGGTGGAAAGTCCCTGTTCCTCCCATCCCGTGGTGCTCAGGCTCATTTTCTTCACGTTTCTGTGTGTCCTGGTTTCTTCCAGCTTTCTGGGTTCTTTGAGGAATCACCTAGGGGTGTGGGATAATTCCAGTACAACTCTAAAATTTATATCATGTTGTAACATTTACAATGTTTATAGGATTCTTCTTCTGCAAGATATATGTCCTTTCTTGTCTTAATATCGCAAGAGAGTAGAATTTGTGTGCTCTCTGGGCAGAGGGTGAACCAAATTAAAGTGTGACACAGGGAAAGCTAGATGAGATTAAAGAAATTGCTCATAATCTTGCATGGTTCAGTTCAGGTTTTCAAAACCGCAAAGCATACTAGAGTAATGTGGCTTCCAATATGCAAATATTAGTTATACACTGACTTGAAAAACAAAGCAAAGAGACAAAAAGAACCCAGAAAACCCAAAATCAGGCAGGCCGCCAGACCCCTGTAGACTTTTTGTAGATATCCTCCAAGGGTGTGGCCGAGACGTCTTTTATTGACTTACTTTTCTTTTTATCACAGAAGTAATATTCAGTGATCTGGCTCCTGCCTCCTGATCATGTGTCTCTGACTTCTTCCAGGCAGTTTACAAGTCTCACGCAGACTTTGCTGCTGTTACCTTTGCTTGTGAAGTGAAGCAAACTTGCAGTTGAACCTGCCTTGATATGTTGATTCAGCCATGTCTTCAAGTTTTTCCTTAGTTGTGAGCTACCAAGAGTCCAAGTTAGAATTGGTTTGAGCAGCCTCCTGTCTCTGATAGCACTGGTCATGTGAAGATCCCTAGTGTTCAGATTTACCAGTATCTTTTCAGACACATAGCCAGTGGTTTGATTTAAAAATATATCCTGTCTTTAACCTGTATTTTGCTTGGTAAAAATTGCAAAATGAGCAAGTGATTTCAGTTTCCCATGCTCTGCTAATTGTGTCGTGTTAAGTATCACACTTCTTTTGGCTGGAGCGCACCACCATGATTGATGACCATGATGCTCTTCCCCATTGGGTCACATGGCCAGGGAATGGCTGTTGTGCTGCAGCCTTTCTGTACCTGGAACGTGCTAAGTGCACTCGATCCTTATTTGCAAATTCTTTCTTCTCTTACCCCCCAACATTATATTGACTGTTGTTCCTATTCTTAGGAAAGGAAATAAGCGTTAACGTTCTGACCTTTTAAATGTGACTGCTGTGTCTTATTTTAGATAGAGGTTGCTCTGTGGGTACTGTATTTTGCAGTATGTGTTTCTGAATTGGTATACTGCTTTTTCTCCCTCTACCCGCAGTGTGAGGGCGTTGAATTTTTAGCACAAATATAAGAAGCCAAATTCTTTTCAGTAATGGATTAAGCTGTTATGCAAGGTTTGGTAAATAACAGTGGAAACTGTGTCTCTGTAACAGAAGATTTTGGTACAGCCTTGTTACTGGTACATAACAGAAATGTGATCCTTTTGACAAAATTGGCTCAGGCCTCTCATGATTTCTTTTTGTCTACAGAACCCCCAACACCTATTGCCCCTCCTGAGCTGCTGGCTGTTGGAGCCACCTACCTGTGGATCAAACCCAATGCCAACTCCATCATCGGAGATGGGCCCATCATCCTGAAGGAGGTGGAATATCGGACAACCACTGGGAATTGGGCAGAAACGCACATTGTAGACTCCCCTAATTACAAACTGTGGCATTTGGATCCTGATGTGGAGTATGAGATCCGAGTTTTGCTCACTCGCCCCGGAGAAGGAGGCACAGGGCCCCCCGGACCTCCGCTCACAACAAGAACAAAATGTGCAGGTAGGATTTCTCCTGCTTACTTAATCCATTACTTAATCCATTAAGCAACAGTACTCTACCCCTCCTTATTGTACATGTGTTTCTATAGAGATCTGAATTTGCAGTAATAATTGTAAATTGTCCTAGGGTGTTTTACTTGTCTACCCGCCCCCCTGGCAACTGTTTGAGGCTGTTGTTTTTATGTACGTAGTATATTTGCTCATCAGACTTTTGTCTACAGTATATTACTGCTTTCTGTTGAAATGGGCAAGCCAGTGGAAATTTCTCTGCTAATTCTCCGGTAGGCAAATTGATCCTAAGTCTATCTACTGTCAAATTTTTGCCCTAGAAGAGCATAACAGGATATATATTGTTCTTAGGTAATCATTAAGCATTCTCTATTTAAAAAAAGGACAGTGCTGTTAAGTGTGGTGAAGTAGTAAGCGGGAAATCATTAAGATACAATTTTGTATCCATTTGGTTCTGATTCTTCTCATTTCTGACACTGCAATATCTCCCCTTTGTCTTTTATATTGGAACAGATCAATTCTAATCAAGGGACAGGACAAGTCTATCTTTCTAAACCACGTTTACTTTCCTTTACTAAAGGATCGTGTTCTGTCATTTTTCACATATATTGTCTATTCATGCTGTTTTCATACAATAATCTTTAGACGTTAAGGCAAATCAAGCTCTTTGCATTGCAAGAGAATGAACTAAGCAGTTTACTGCCTAGTATTTTCTTCCACTGAACAACCGTCTTCTCAAGGTTTGCACTTTTGTAATTTTTGCAAGATCCTTTGTGGTTTGAACAAAGGACAGAGACTGAAAGATTGCTCTCTCCCTTCTACAGCCTTCATTTCTTCCCCACAAATAAGGGGTTTACAGAGAGTAGATTTAAGTAGCGGGGAACTTATACAAAAGCATTCTCATTCCGAGCACTCTTCCTGAACAAACAGCAAGTCTGAAGTGTGAAAGTGGCTTAGAATGCACCAAAAACAGCCCAACGCCTTCCCAGGATGGGATTTAGTGCTACATTAGTGTTCTTCACATGCTGGCATAGCATGGGAACCCCACCAGCACCGTCTTCCCCTGCCAAGAGGGGAAGCCTATCAAGTAAAGAGTGCTCTGAGCAGTGGAAGAAATGTCGTTATTGCCTTACCTTTTTGGTGCAGGTTATAAAGCAGTGAATATCCGGTGTCTTTTTAAGAAGAATTGGTTAAAAAAAGAAATTACTCACGAGGATCTGGCATATAAGTGTTTACTGTGTTCAGCTCTTTCCTATTGGTACAGACAGATGTTTGGAGGCTTTCCTGCAGATAGCCTGAGAGCATGCAATGACAGTTCTGTCCTGACCTATTTGGGAAATTGGCCCATGCTCCTCCACTCATCTTTTGGCTGTCTTCCTGTCCACTGAGCACTAGAATTTTGGTCTCTAACCTTCAGTAGAAATAACTGCATGAGAGACTCGGGACTAAGGGCACCACATCAAGAAAGAAGAGATTTGAGTTTGGGCCCAGTACTACTCTTGCAAAACAGTATTCCTTTTTGCTCGAAAATGAATGCTCACAACCTCACGAGGTCGTGAAATTGCATCAAAAGATGCACGGTTTTGCAGACTCTTGATAGAACAGCAGGGTTGCACATTTTATATTGATTTTAGAAGGGCAGAATATAATATCCTACATCCTGTCAATTGCCTGTAGTTACAGCTGCAGTCATTGCCTTGGAAAGTAGCAGCTTCTTTACATTGTAATGGAAATTCATTTGTGTTTGGATATGGCTTGGCCTGTCACTATATATTTGCATGTGCCAAGTTGATAGGCTGAGATATGGTCCGTTGTTCATGCATCGTGCATTTGCAAGCACGCTTTTGGCAGCAGCCAAACTTGTCCATCTTACCTGTAAAGGTCTATAAAGCCTGCTCTATAGTCTTTAGTTGAATTCAGAGGTAAAAGAGAGGATGTTGGCTCTGTGCTTAATAATGTCTTGTAGTGCATCCCAAATTGCTGAGTTGTCTTGCTCAGACTGGGTATTGACTGACACAATGAAGGATCATGTAGATAATCTGGCCAATTTGGCCAAGCAGTGCCATTCACTGCTCTCCATCCTAATTTACTAATGAAAATTTAACTGGGGGAGGTCATTCTATTAACGTTAATTGTCATTCAGAGCTTGTCGAGATTGATGGCGACAGCATTTGTGCTTTGTTTAGGGCATTGGGTGGAAGAAACTGTAGTGATCTTGATCTAAATGCGGTCTCAAAGGAAGGAAGAGGCTTACCCAATCTCTAAAGGTGTACGACTTCGTCAAGATGCCACACAAAATGATAGACAAGAAAATGTAAATCGTTATTCCAATTTTCATGTGTGGTGGTAGAACTCTTTCAAAACATTCTATTTCTAGGATAATTACATGCACCTTTCACAGTAAAGATTTTCAGAAATGTGGTGAGTTAACACAGCAACAGTACTTCCTTCATTTTCCTTAGAGTAATTAATAAATCATGTAAATTTAAATTAATTTTTTTTAAAATAGTTTCTGGTGAGGGATGCTGCTTTTTTTGAAGTGCATTTTTTGGTTCTTTTTCTTGTTTTTTTTAGTAAAGAGGGAAATCTCAAACTCCTACACGTTTGTGTGCAGTCAGTAGATGCTGAAGTAGTCTCATTTTGCAGTGCTGATAAGACTCAGAGCCCACTAATGCAGATGGCAAAACTGAATGCTGAAGTGGTGATGAAGAGCATCGCCTATACTGGAAAAGAAGTATTTGCTTAGTTGTTTCATTTACAAGAAATTGGTGCAACCATAAACAGAAGGTGTCTGCCACTTTCTGACAATGAGAAGTCGATGTCTCATTTACTAAATAATCTCCTCTGTGCGTTTTCTCCTAGACATTATATCCTTTTGTGGCCTGGAGTCTGAATAACTCATGGGCTTAGACTTCAATTTAGGCAGATCTCATTAATAGAGTTCTTATTTTCAGCTCTGAATTAGGACAGGATTTGAGAGGGATCGTGCTTCTCTTCTGCATCACTTCAAACTATAGGACCTCATTTATGGAGTTGTGGTTGTCTGCTGAGTTTCTTTACTGCAGGCCTTGCATGAATGCACCGACGTGAACAGAGTAGCTCAGTGTGAGTTTGGAAAGACATTACATCAGGATGCAACTGTTGCCGAGATCATTCATGATGTTCAGATTTTTTTGAGCGGAGTGAAGGCAAGGGGTTTTCATGGACTTTAAAGTTTTTGGTTAAATAAAGCCCATAAAAACTAATTTTGAAATGTCTTGCTCTAAATGGCCATAAAGAAATTTTATTAAGCTGGATGATACCTTTAATCTAAATTTTTATAAACACTATGTACCTGTGCATCGCTAACCCACTGGGAACGCTTTGCACTTTTTACAGGGCAGCATTAAAGTCTTCACTTATATTTCATCTTTAGAAATGATACTGAATATTAAGCCCCAGCTTGCCTCCTTGTTAAGAAAAGCGACCTGACAGAAAACATGGCAAAACCTGCCTTTGCAAAGGAGTGATAGCTCTGTGTGTGTGTGTGTGTGTGTGTGTTTTTTCCCCTCCTTTCTTCATAAAAGTGATAGAAGGTGACTTGGGGCAGGAAAAGATGAAATGACCTCAAGGACTGAAGTAGTAACCTGTCAGTCGGGGTGAAGAGTTGCTCAACAGGGAATGGGGAGAAGAGAGAACGACTGTCTGAGGTTAAGACCACAGACAGGTTTGAGGGCGGTTAAGGGAAGATATAAAATACTAGGTTTTGCCCCCAAAATAATAGGCTGAGGGAGATGACAGGATCAGAGTAATGTGTTTGAACAAGGTTCCTAACAGCGTTTTGTCCAGCATCGTCTTCTGGGTGTGGGGTTTTCAGCTGGCCTCAGTCGTTAAACAGCCCTTTAATATCCTTGTTTTGTGAGCTTCATTCAAAAGATTATTCTTTGGGAAGCTGTTATTTGGGAAGGCTGGGCTTTGCTCTTCTTCTCTGTGCGTCTTTCCTCTTCCCCTGCATGTGTGGTGTACCCCCGCCGCCCCTTCCTTCAGTTGCTGCAGAATGGGAGAATAGGAGAAGAGTCTCTTTGTTCCACTGGCGGATGGAAAGAGAAGAGATGACCTTGCAAATGAGGCCGTTACTGTGGAAAAATTGCCTCATTTGAAAAGTGTTTACGTTCCAGCGGAAGAACCTGCATGAAAAGCAGGGCCAAAGAGTAACATTTAAATGAATAATAATAACGGGGCAGAGATAAAATTTTATTTAAAAATCATATTTAGACCTGGTTAAAATAATAGCTGAAAAAGCTATCATGAGCAATAGTCTCTTAGCCTCTTCAGGCTCTGGCAGCAGGAGAGAGAAAGGGTTTAGCGACCCAGAGGCTTAGATGGAGGAAACTGGTCTGTTACAATGATCCAGTTTATGGAAGGTAGAAGTTTTGTCCTGATACACAAAATTTCACATCGATCATTTTCCGGCTGCCTTTGGAGCTGTGCGGCTAGAGAGGGGGTTGTTGAGCAGGAGGATGTGATCAAGCTCCTGGAGAAAGATCAATACTCAATTTTTGTTCTTAGTCTAGGGAAATAAAAGTTAGTCTTGAACAATGTGATTGAAATACTTCCCTTAAAAATAGTCTGGATAAAGCACCTGAGATAAATGCAAAGAATCTGTGCTTTCAGAGTTTGATTAGACCTTGTGAAATAGTTGGAAAGGCTTTTCCTTTTAGGTAATAGTTAAAAGGTACTCTCTTGCCACAAAACCTTGCTGAATTTATAAATAATAAGCAACTTTTGCCAATTTAGGGAGGTTTGAGACTAAACCTTTGCTGATTGGGGGGGTCTGAGACTACATGTTCATACTTTATGGAAACGTGTTTCTGTCTTGGTTGCTCCATTAAAAACGTTAGAAAACCGAGTAGAATGAAACCATGAAGGTGGTGGTTTGCTGTGTAAATGCACAAACTGAACAACCCAAAGGCTGTTTTGCTGTAATCTGAGTTCGTATGAGTTGCTATACAA